CATTGTGATTCAGTAGTTGAGTATCTTCAACCTATGAACCAGGATGTCATGGTTCGATTCCTGGTCAGGCCACATGCCTGGGTTGCAGACTCATTCCCAGTTGGGGCCATGCAGAAGGCAGCCAATCAGTGATTTTCTCTCATCACTGATGTTTCTATTTCTCTATTCCTCACCTTTTTCTAAAAAAAAAATCAATTAAAAATATATATTTCCTTTCTTGCCCTGGCTAGTGTGGCTCAGATGGTTGAGCACTGTCCTATGCACTGAAAGGTTGCTGGTTCGATTCCCATTCAAGGGCACGAACCAGGTTGTGGGCTTGATCCCCAGTAGAGGGCATGCAGGAGGCAACGGATCAATGATTCTCTCTCATCAATGATGTTTCTATCTCTCTCTCCCTCTCCCTTTCTCTCTGAAATCAATAAAAATATTATTTTAAAAAATCAATAAAAAAATTTTTTTAAAAATTCAGCTTATCCATTTAAAAATACATACATATATATGGTATTTATTTATTTACTTACTTACTGAGTACCTACTGAAGGTTCTGGGGACACCAAAGAGCACAAACAAGGTTCTTGCCCATACGGAGCTTGGAAAAATATCTTTATTGAAATCTAACTAAAAGTTTACCTGTTTCCAGGGAGGATAATTTGACTTCCATTGTTTTTATGGTGGAATTTAATTCAGCTTCCATTTCTTTTTCAAATTCATCTTCACTAGATTCACTTTCTCCAGTAAGACATTCTCTGATGAGTTTTCGTTTTTGGTCAGGAGTTCCATGTAAAAGCACATCCACTTCATCTTCAGAACTAATATAAATTTAAATCATAAAGAATATGAATATTAAAGAATTAAAATAACTTACAACTCCCATCACCTCACTGCCCAACAAGTTTAAGTTTATAAGGTTGCATTTGATTTATCTGGCATATTACATAGAGCTATTCTCACTTAACAGATCAACCATTTTGCATATTTCCAAATATATTTTTTAATGTTAGCATAACACTTCCTCTTGTAAAAGCTGTACATTTATTTCTAGCTCTTTGCTATTAAACACTATAATGAACATCTTTGTACATATAACTTTGTTTAATTCCTTAGGATGAATGTCTAGAATTAGATACAAACATCTGACTTCTTGAATTATCACACTGCTTTCCAGGATTGCACCAATTCTAATTTTTTCAGCAATGAAAAATTTACTCCACAGTTTTTTAAAACTCAAGACATTTAAATTAAACCTAAATGCCCAGCCGGTGTGGCTCAGTGGTTGCATGTCAACCTAAGAACCAGGGGGTCACAGTTCAATTCCCAGTCAGGGCACATGCCAAGGTTTCCGGGCTCGTCCCAGTAGGGGGTGTGCAGGAAGCAGCCGATCAATGATTCCCTCTCATCATTGATATTTCTGTCTCTCCCTCTCCCTTCCTCTCTGAAATAAAAAATACATATATTAAAAAACCACACACACACAATAAAACAACCCACAAAAACAAGCCACAGCCCAGCCACTGATGGGGCTTAGTTGGTTGAGGTGAAGTTGCCAGTTCGATTCCCGGTGGGGGCACATGCCCGAGTTTCAGGCTTGATCTGTTGGGGGTGGTGAGGCAACCCATTGGTGTTTCTCGTCAGTATTTCTAACTCTGTCCCTATCCCTTCCTCTCAAATTAATAAAATATTTTAAGAAACACCATAATACTATTATCATACCTAACAAAACAAACAATAATTCCTTAATAACATTTAATTCCTAGCCCATATTAAAATTTTCCCACTTGTTTCAATAATGTTACTTTACGGGTTTGTTTGTTTTTTTGCTCAAATCAGAATAAAAAGCAGGTCCATATGTTATATTTGGTGGCTGTATCTGTTCTGGCTGCCATAACAAAATATCATAGATCAGTGGCTGAAACTGCAGGAATTTATTTTCTCACAGTTCTGGAGGCTAGGAGTCCAAGATCAAGTAGAAGATCCAGGTGCTAGCAAGGTTGGTGTCTGGTGAGGGCTGGCCCTTATGGCTGTGTCATCACAGGAGGAGAGAGACATCTCCAGTATTTCCCTTCTTACAAGGACACCAGCTCTATCAGATTGGGCTCTACATTTATGAGCAAATTTAACTTTCTTACCTCCTCATAGCTGCCATCTCCAAATATAGTCGTATTTCAGGTCAAAACTTCAATATACAAATTTGGGGAGGAGGGAGACCACAGACATTCAGTCCATAAAAATATATTTAAAAATAAAATAAATAAATAAATAAATAAATAAATAAATAAAAGGCACAGTGCTGCAGAGAACTATAAAGAGAGAGAAAACTAAATTATATCTCAAATTCTCCTGAGCAATTTCTGCCAATTTACTTGGCTTTCTGTGCCTGGGTTCCCCCATCAATAGGAATGGGACAAAATTAAACCAGATATCAGCAGAAATATCTGAAATGCCCAAAACAGTTCTAATACAATCAACAGTACATAAATAATGCTCAGTTACTCATGGTCTGATGAATACTTACTGACTATTCTTGGTTTTTGGTTCTCTAGTTTTGCCTTCTAAACAATGCTTTTGAGCCTCTAGCAGAAAGTAAATCAGAAAAATCCAATTCACAACAATTAATTTTTGACCCAAGATGTCAATGCTGCCAAGCTTGAGAAATCCTGATCTATTCTGTATTTAAGTGTTTCCAAAGTGTGGGACATAGATTATTTTAATGAGTAGCAGAATAGACGATGGCCCATTGAAGAATACTAAAGCCACTGCTAGTGGGAATGTAAAATGGTACAACCACTATGGAAAACAGCGTGACAGTTTCTTATAAAACTAAACATACAATTACCATACAACCAGCAATTGAACTCCTGGGCATTTATCCCAGAGAAATGAAAATGCATAAGCACACAAAAACCTATACATGGCCCTAGCCAGTTTGGCTCAGTGGACAGAGCGTTGGCCTGTGGACTGAAGGGTTCCTGGTTCGATTCCAGTCCAGGGCATGTACCTCGGGAGCCACCAGCTGTGGTCAGGGGCATGCAGGAGGCAACCAATCAATGTGTCTCTCTCACATCAGTGTTCTCTCTGTCTTTCCCTCTCCCTTCCACTCTCTCTAAAAATCAATGGGAAAAATGTCCACAGGTGAAGTTTAAAAAAAACCTATACATGAATGTTTATAGCAGTTTTATTCACAATAGTCTAAACTTGAAAGATGTCCTTCAACGAGTGAATGGTTAAGCACAGACTATTACTCAGCAATAAAAAAAGAAATGAACTATTAATACCTAAAAAAATGGGGGTGAATCTCCAGAGAACTGTGCTGAGTGAAAAAAGCCAATCCCAAAAGGTTACATACGCAGAATTCCACTTACATATTTTTTGAAAGGACAAAATTATAGAAATGGAGGACAGACTAGCAGTTACCAGAGGTTAAGTGGGGTATGGGGGGCGGGAAGTGGGGAAAATGAATGATCCTCACGCTGATGGAAATGTCCTGTAACTTGACTGTATTCATGTCAATATCCCGGTTGTGATATTGTACTAGTTTTGCAATATGTTAACATTGGGGGAAACTGAGTAAAGGGGACACAATCTCTCTGTATTATTTCTTACAACAACATGTGAATCTAGTTGTAAGAACAAAATGTTTAATTTAAAAAATTAAAACACAAGGCAAGAGTGTGATTCTTTTTGGCAAATTTTCTTCAATCTTTGTGATTATTTCAAAAGTCTCAGCATTTGCACTGCTAGTCAAGGCAATGTCATGGGCCCTGCATATTCTTGTTGAGTATGCTAGCATGCAAGGTTCACAACACTCTTTACCCAGGTCATTTTTCAGGGTTGTTTGCAGTAAAAAAAAACAAAAAAAACTTGATGGATGAGGACACGTCCCTTCCCAGGACAAAGAGCAGGCTTATACTGCCTGCTGTCAAAGAGGTAGATTCCAAGCTCAAGTGGTCCTCAGCCAGGATACCAATCCGTCTTCGTCTCTTTGCATAACCTCTGCTGAAGTTAGGGAGAGCAACCAACACCAACATAATAATGCTCATGCTGCCTGCTGTGCTGTGAGTTTTCTGTAACCCAGGAGTCTCAGCTCTTCTGCCAGCTTCCAGGAAACATGACAGGCTATAAAATAGTATCTTATAAAGAGGAGTGAAATCAAATCCTGACAGGTACCTCTTACCTCTCTCTCACAATCCCCCTTTTTAAAACAAGCATTGGATTCAGACCCTCAAACAGGCAATACTGCCTTAAAGCATTGTTCTGTTTTCATAGTATTTTTTTTTCATTACTTTACAAGTGACAAGTGTTAGGATTATAAAGCTTTCTTTAGGATACTTAACTACAAAAATGTAAATTGACTTAAAGAAAAATGTTAAATAAATAACACAAGTGCATATGGAGATGGTAATAGCAGAATAAGTCAAGTCCAGGAAACACTCCTCTATTCCAATCAAACTGAACTACTAATTGAAGCCTGTATCTACCTCCTTTCACAGACCTGACCCTTTAAGTCAACTTCCACAGGGAATCCTGGAATCCATCCTCACTCCCCACAACAGAAACCTTCGAAGCAGCCGGATCTCCCACGCCTAGGACCCTCCCCAGGATAATGGAAGGAAACACTGTGATTGAAAGTAGGACAGTTCGCCGAAACCGGTTTGGCTCAGTGAATAGAGCGTCGGCCTGTGGACTAAAAGGTCCCAGGTTCGATTCCGGTCAAGGGCATGTACCTTGGTTGCAGGCACATCCCCGGTGGGGAGTGTGCAGGGGGCAGCTGATCGATGTTTCTCTCTCCTCGATGTTTCTAACTCTCTATCTCTCTCCCTTCCTCTCTGTAAAAAATCAATAAAATATATTTTAAAAAAAAAAAGAAAGAAAGTAGGACAGTTGTACAGAAAGCTCAATCCGACGAAATATTTTAAAGTTATAAGTAGGATCTGCTGACTGCTCTCAAATGGCTTAAATTTGCCTGGAAATCTATTGCCAACAAAACTGCAAGTTTCCCTCAGGTAGGATACGTCCTTCCTTTTTGGAAATTCCCACGAAAACCTCGTCGGTGCCTAGCTAAGATCGTTTTCTAC